CAGAATAGTATGACCATATCTGATATATGAGACTATGTGTACTTAGTCTGATAACATTCAACTTTTTAGACGAATCAAACTAATTAGAGCTTATCAGTCTAAGTAATAATAATGTAGTAAAAAATAAAAAATAACAAAGTAATAAATAATAATAATTAGTAATGATAAAATATAGGAAATGCAGAATAGTATGACGATATCTTATATATGAGACTATGTGTACTTAGACTGATAAAATCCAGCTTATTAGACTAATCGGGCTAATTAGAGCCTATCAGTATAAAATAACAATAATAATAAGTAAGACACTCTTATCACGTTCTCCAACAATTCACCCCCACACAGCTACCTCCTCATGTATCACTGGCCCCTCCCTTTTAGACTGTAAGCCCTCAGGGGCAGGGGCCTCCTTACCATCTTGTCCTGAATTGTATTGTGATTGTAATGTCTTCCTTATATTGTAAAGCGCTGCACAAACTATTTCCGGAGGAAGAGGGATGATGGGATTTGCAGTTTCAGCCTGGCTGGAGTGCTGAGGTTGTCCGCCCTTGTACTATATCACAAATGTACATCCATTATGCTAACAGAGTTATCACTGCAATAAGTAATTTATATATGTAATGTAGTATGAATGTGGTATGTTTGTTGTTTTTTTTTTTACCATCTACCATTTTTATGGCACTACACAGCCAATTTATCTTCCTTTCTATACTCCTTTCCTATGTAAAGACATGGCGGCCGCTATGTCAACTGATGCTTGCAAACCTAAATATACAAACTTAAACACTTTTTTTTTTTTCTCCATAGATATGCTTTTCATCCTCCGTCACACCAATGTGCAATTTTATTCTGATGGGGTATTGCAAAAGTATTGGTGACAGGTTCTCTTTTTAGACCTCAGCTCTTCTCTTGTTTAGACCAGCCTGAAAAACATTCCAGCCCTACCATAGACAAAAACATTTGATTTTATGTTGGGTAGAAAATGGAAGGCTTAGGGCCTCTGCCCGTTTTTTGTGTCTCTCTACTGTGGAGATATACGCTCACTTCCTGTCGAGGCAGGGAGTAAAAGGAAAGCTCTCCAATGGGGGCACAGACCACAATAGAAAAAGCAATAGAACTTCTGACAATGTTTCTATTGCCATCTGTGCCTTCCTGTCTGGGTGACAATCTTTATTTCTTGTTCTGGTGTCACGAGGACAGGAAGTGAGAAATAACCCCCCCCTCCCTGAAAGGGACAAGATCGGACAAGATGAAAAAAATCACTGACAGAAATGTAACTGTTCTCCTTTCTATCCGAAATAAATAAATATTCAGATGGAGTTAGGCTAGGTTCACACATCGGGGATCATGTGCGGGTGGACACAGCGATTGCCGCCGGACCCCATTGATTTCAATGGTGTTACATCCGCGCGGCAAAAAAGGTACATAGTTAGTCAGGTTGAAAAAGGGCACAAGTCCATCGAGTTCAACCTACATGTACCTCTTTTTGCATCACGCACAGTGTGGGTTTTTTAAACGTGATCGCACGGGCAGTATCGCGGCGGGAAACTGGAGTGCCATTAGAAAATAATGGCACCTCCAGCACGATCGGTGACCGTACGCTTTCGTGCAGGATTGCCATGCGATCACGGATCGCCATAGTGTGAACCTAGTCTTAAGGTTCAAAATGCAGAGAGAGTATAAAGAAATGACCGCTTTGTGTATTTATATTTCATGTTTATTTCTGCACTTCATCAGAACCCAGAAAAATGAAAACGTTATAATATCTAAAATATACAACATATTTACATACAGTCATTGAAGCTATTGCACAGTTTCCTTTCAGCTCAGACATGTACAGATAAATCATTTGCAGGTTTGATGTGCTTCCCATGGAGAAGTCTTTGGGGCCAGGTCCATCTCTGCCTTTGTATGCCCGAGATGCTAATCATCTGACCATTATTAGGAGCAGTGACCCCCAGCCCAATGAAGCTCCACCCCTGCCCTGCCGAAGCCCCATACCCAGCTCGGTAAGCAAGCTGTGTGGGGAGGAGGAAGGTAGGTGACAGGGAGGAGCCTCACTGTCCCTCACTTGCCCGTCACTGGTGAGGCATCGAGATCAATGTCCTCACCGTTTGTTTGTTTTTTTCTCTTTTTTTTGATTGGACAGCTTGGACCAATGGCGCTTTGCCATTGGCCCAAGCCATCCACAGAGTTCACGCCTCTAACAGAGAGTAGAGGCTGCGACAGCTCTTGCCTTAGCAAGTTAGGTTACACAAGCAGTGGGGAAGCCCGCTGCTGTGTAACCTAACTACCTGTCAAAAGCCAGATGCAGCGGTGCCTGTAATTAACAGACAGCGCGCCATCCATGACAGGTTGCACAGCGGGGGAGGATTTCCCTGCTATGTCACCCGTAACAAGCCGCACTGAATGGAGAAAAAGCTGTCAGTTTCAGACTTGATAGGAAGAAATCATTACCCGCTCTCTTTAAAAAAGTGCTAAACTACCGATGAATTTTGCAAAGCTGCCAATCAGCAGAATGAAATGTATTACACTCCATCCCGGTCACAGACTGTTGAGGACAAAGGTGAGGTCTTCATCCCAGTCAGATCCGTACTCTGTGGACCTTTCGCTGACCCCGGAGTCGGATATGGGGGACCTTCGCTTGCAAAAGTCATTCTGGCCGGCTAGCATTGGATGCTGCACTTGGGTGGGAAAAGAGTTACGTCCAAGACAGGTGGCGGAAGCTGTAGAGACTGGTATTGGTGGGATGTTTACTCCTATGTCTGGAGACGTGGCCTTGTTAGGTAGAAAGTTGGAATAATCCATTGCATAATTCACGTTTGAATGGAACTGTCCTCTGCTCAGGTCTATTCCTTGGTGACTGAAGCCCATAGCTGGGTTGTAGAAATGTTGCTGGTTTACCATGGGTAGGCTAGATGCTGTAGCTTGCTGATAAACCCTGGATGATACCTGGTCAATGACTAGTCTCTGCCTGGCCACTTGGCAGGAGTATTGAGGGTATCCAAGGAATTCAGGCTGTTGGAAAATGTCCTGTTGGGTGTTGCCAAATGGTTGCACCTCTTCCTGACAATTGCGGATTTGTTGTTGGTGGACATGAGTAGCCGGTGTAGAGGAATACATGTATTTGTTATCACCAAGTGAGCTGGAATATGGCTCTTCTACTGGCAAGTTGGTTGATTTGACGCCCTTTCGTCTGGCCTTGGCCCTCCTATTCTGGAACCAGACCTGTAGGAAAATAGGAGACGTCCATAAATACAACATGTGCATGGTAGTAGCATGGAAAGCATGTGGTATAATACCTATGACAGTTCTGAATGAGAAAATGACCATAAAAGTCAAAACACAGGCTTCCTTTCATTCTAAAAAACTGGACATTAATAATTTTTAACTAGATTTGCTTTGTATTAAAACTGAAATTGAGAAACTACTACTACTTATATCATGACATCAACAAACAGGTCACCAGGAAGAAAAGCAAAAGGTCAATACCTGGATCCTGGACTCGGGCAGGTACATTTGTTTAGCCAGCTGTTCCCGGTGGTGGATATCTGGGTACATGTTGGTCTTGAAGTATCGCTCTAGCGTGTCCAGCTGCACCTGGTTGTAGACGGTCCTCTTTCTGCGTTGGCACACCGCTGTGTCCAAGGCCTGGGGCTGACTGCTAACTTTCTTTGATGAAGCGGTCTGAGCAGCTTTAAACTCAGCATTGTTCGGGGGCACGACACATTCTGGAAAGAGACAATAATTAGTATCATATCCACAAACATAATTCTCCATCATTGATCAATATCTATTCTCCAATATCTAAATTAATTCAGGAGGGCAAATTAGAACTACAACTACTGTGCACACGGTCCAAAGACATTGCCCAGAGGACCAAACACCCCAAATATATGGATTCTAATTTAATTCACTTTCACAACGAGACTTATAAACACACATCATTTATTTTATACAGGAGGAAAAAACAGTCAGTCTAAATATACAAGTAACAAGATGATTACAATACTAATCAAATATAAGGTACATTTTATATACTTTTTATACTTTTAATATATATGCATGCCACATCTGTATTTTATAATATGTAACAAATACACTATGTCATTTCTGTTATATTATTATTCAGGATTTATATAGCGCCAACAATTTGCGCAAAATAAAAAATTGTTTAAAATATATAATAATACGATGATATGATACTAACCAAATGTACATTTTAAAGATATTTTAAGGGTAATAATGTACACGCATGTCATGTCTGTACTTCATAATATGTAACAAATACACCATATTATTTCTGTTTTATTATTATCAATATTATCATTATTATTAATCAGGATTTATATAGTGCCAACAGTTTGCGCAAAAGAAAAAATATATAATAATAAGATGATATGATACTAACCAAATGTACATTTTAAAAGGTAATAATGTACACGCATGTCACGCCTGTACTTCATAATATGTAACAAATACACTATTTTTTTTCTGATACATTATTATTATTCATGATTTATATTGCACCAACAGTTAAATAATAATAATATGTAAGTCTTATAGAATGTCTTACCTTTCACATTGGGCCGCTGGAAGTCCTTCTTCTGTAATGGGGCCACACTTACACCCATTTGAGGGGTCTGTGGGCCTGAATATCCCATCTGACCAGTGGGGAAGTAGGAAGGGAAATAGTGTCCAGGCTCCTGGCTGTATCCAGCCATTGCATAAAATTCCCTTTCTTGTTCTGCTCAACCAGATCCTCTCCTGTGTGATAGTTGCCTGTGTTGCTGTTTTCTGGATGCTGAGTCCCCTCCTGATCCCCTCTTATAGCAGAACTAGTGGGCGGTGACAGTGATCAAAGCCCTCAGGTGTGACAATGTCCATGGGGGGTGGCAGAATGAGTCTGAGCCACTGGGTGTTATGTAGACACTATTGTGAAGTTCAGGTCAGCCAGCCATTATGTCCTGCTGGGTCCAGCTAAAGACCTGAGCTCACAATACACATACCCATCCACTGATCCCAAAAGGTGGGTTTCCTGTCTGTGCTACCAGGAAGTCACCTTCAACTTCAGCTTGGGCCATCTGCAATACACAGTGGCTGCTTCTTTTGGCGTTCAGAGCCAAAATATAAATGAACATTTTTAGGTCACTGCTCAAAAACCTTTTTTTATTGTAGTTTTAGTGAGTGTATATTCTTCCTGCCCTTCACAAAGACAGAATTTCCCAGACGGTGTTTCCCTAGGAGAACGTTCAACAGGTACAGTCGTCACTTCCTGGCATTAAAGTATTTTAAAGAAATAGAAAAGGATAAAACATATAAAAGCAAAATTCTGAAAGATGTATAAAAAAAACCTAAAAGGATTATTTACAAAAATATATTTATTAAGGGGAAATATACGAACAATAATAAAATTTACCTCCAGTGATGCCTTATGTGTGTATATACAATGTGGACAACGCCCTCGAAATCACAGAAAACGACCACACCCAAAATTGACCATAGGCGACACTTTAAACGCTTTTACTGCTCATCAGTTTAGTGTTATCAGTAATTAATGGCCCTAAAATATTGCTCTCATTCCGACGTTGCGGCGATATGGAACATGTGTGGCGTAATGGGCGCAATCGTCGTTTTTGCACGTATGCGCACCCGACACATGTTTGCATGCGTGTGGGGGGGGGGCGGGGGACTTTAAAAAATGTTGTGTTATTTATTTATTTTAATTTGTGAATATTCTTTTTAGCTTCTTTATTTTTTTTTAATGCTTTAATTTTGTAAAACGTTTTCTTTTTACACTTAACTTTATTGCTATCACATGGGAGGGCTAAGAAACCCCCTATGTGATAGCCAATTCACATGACAGGTCCTCTTTATGGAGACATCAGGGGTCTCCAAGACCCCTGTCACCTAGGGACCCCCAGAGAAGCTAATAAAGCAGAGATCTGCCGGCATTGGTTGCCAGAGAGTGACACTGAATGCAGGAAGTGATGTAATATACATCACTTCCTGCATTTGGGGACCGGAGAGGAGTCGAAGGGAGATTGTGTACCGGGCCAGGCTCAGCTGATGCATGGCTGCACTACAAACAGGAAGTGAAATATTTGCCCCAGCACCCTGTAGAAAAGTTGTCAAGTCAAAAATACCTAATATCAAAAGAGATATTTTTGACGCATATTTCTTGGCATGTTCTATGTCAGTGCCAACATTTTGGGTGGCATGGCGCTATAGGGGTACCTTGCTGTTGACAGAAGAAATTGAAATTTTTGTCTCAAAGTGATCTCGGTGCTGAGAAAATATTGTTCATAGTTAAGATGACCAATCACAGATCAGTCCGAAATTGGACCCGTGGCAAAATTGTCAGCCAAACAGTGACTGCAGCCAATCACAATACAATTGCCAGCAGTGAAGATTCTGCCATCAATTTTGCGTGAATGGAGAAACTGAGGGCTAATCAATAAAAATCTTACAATGTATGGTCAACTTTATGGGCGAGGTTGAAAATGGAATGGTAAGGGTGAGTGTGCCCGGGGGACGGTCAGATGTGCACCCAGAGCACAAACACAACAGTGGGCACCAATCTTGTCTTCAAAGGATGGAGAGGAGGGAGATGATGAATGACACTAGACACCACTATCATGGGAACAATCAAAATCAGAGCCAGTACATACTTTATGAGTCATTTTTCTGCACTTCATCTGCACTCATTATTATGAGTGCATCATGTATTATATATACACAGTGTGTGTGTGTGTGTGTGTGTGTGTGTGTGTATATATAAATAAATAATATATATAATTATAACATGTAATCCTAGATTAAATACAATCTAACAATAAAAGGTGTTGGATGCAGTAGGGAATGTTCTTCTTTTAGGATTTCTCTTTACTTCCTGTCCCAGAGACACAGCAGGAAGTTTCTTTCTTTTTCTTTCTTTCTTTCTCCTGACTAACTATGTAACTATGTAAAGGAAAGGTCTCTAAAGTTGGGCAATCCCTTCTTAGATGCCAGTGGAACTAGAGCCCCTATCAGAAGACTTTGCTTCTATTCCTGTTGCAGTGACAACTTATAATTGTAGGATTGCTCTCACTTTCAGTCCTGGGATTACCCTCGATTTCAGTCAACAACCAGAGAGCGTAGATTTCCTCAATGGGAACATCAGAAAATTAAAAAATAAATAAATTACAGAGGATGTAAAGTAGATATAAACCAACCCAGTAAACTCTCATATAATCTTTACATATCAATGTAATTCAAAAGTCATTTTCAATTGTTTTTAAGTCTACGGTTTTTATTAAAGTGATCCTGCTATGATGGTCCTTGTTTAGGCACTTCCTGTTATGGGGTGACAACCTTTTGCCCTCCTATGTCACCCTGTTACTTGTGCTTCGGCCGGAGACTATAAGCGGTTCCATTGATGGTCAGTGCACAGACTAGTTCCAATATTGCCACCATCAGGAAGCCAGTCCAGAGCAATGACATGCAGCAAATACTACAGCAAGTGCATGTAGGCCTCGTTCACACCTGACCGTTTTGTAGGGCGTTCTACGCTCGACGAACGCTCTACAAAACGGTCAAAAATATAAATTGCATTGTAGTCAATGCCCTCGTTCCCACCTTGCCGTATTTCCGCCCGTCCCTAACGCCCTACAAAACGGCCCACGCCTGAAAAGGTCCCGGGACTACTTTGGGCTGTTTTGTAGGGCGTTTTCCATTGGGATACAGCCAAGTAGCGAATCGCGGTCGCGCGACAGACGCGCATATTACAATACGCCTAGGTGTGAATGGGGCCGTAGACAGTAAGGGGCTGAAAGAGGCCACAGGGGGTCGGCAGCCGTGAGATGTAACAAAAAAAGATGAAAACAGTATTTTCTAACAAAACAAAAAACAAATCAGGGCAACAGTTTATGACACAGCAAACCAAATGCCATAGTTCAAGTTTTTATCTGCTTCAACCCTTCCCTACTCCATAAAAAAAATTCTGGCTTTAGATAAACTTTAATATTTGTATAACCTGAGCGGGAAGATAATGAATAAAGATAAGTGAATGTGATTGAGCGTATATATGAATAACAATCTGAGATGAAAGTTTTGATTCGTCTGCGAATTATTATTATTTGGATACTTTCTTTCCTCCATAGGAATACATTGCATTGGTCCGGATACAAGTCTGGTTTGTGTGTATCCTCGCTCGGGTGTTTTGTGCTTTTTGTGTTTTTTGATGTGGATACATCCTCTAGACTGTAATGTGTTGTCTGCGCTGAAGGCAGAAGTGACGCCTGTCTGGGAGGAGCAAAGATTTGCTAATGACACTGAACTCAAGGTGGAGGGGGAGGGGAGGGGGTGTAATGAGGTGTTGCCATCCTGTGTCTGACTTCCACTTCTACAAAAAGTTCCCTTTCTTTTGGCTGGGATTATGTGGAGCAGGTGATGTGGATTCAGACAGGTAGCGGCATCTCTGGGATGGACTCCTTTCTTCCACTCTGCTCAATGAGGCCTAAAGTGGGCCGTAGATGCCTTATATATCCCAGCATGCCCTGGCTCACACTAAGTTGTTCTGATTAATACCAATCTGAGCCGTAAATATATATATAGATATGCAACAATAATAATTCTCCTTAAAGAGGAATTACAACCCTAAAAACTGAAAAAAAAAGGCTCAGTTACAAATTGTATTAAATGTCACTCTTACCGTTCCATGCATGCCTACCTCATCTTACTCCCATTAGCTTTCAGAGTCCCTTGTCTCCTCTGCACCACCATGCAGATCCTGCGCTTGCGCACCCAGCGCACTGGTGGGATCGTTTGCCTTACATGTTGCCATAGCAACATCAATGTAAGCACCGTCAATCCTGCAGCATTTGCATTGCCGTTACCGTGGCGTAAAAGAGAAGGATACTTGCTGCACTCCTTACCGGGATTCCCATATAGATATACAAACGGGTGCTCGAAATGACTGTGGATGGTGCCGCCACATGTAGATGTTCGAAGAACGTCACCAGCACACCAAATCAAATGACTGCATCACGTGCTCATTTATTGATGTATGCTGTCTCTTGGTTGCAAGCGTTTTCAGGGGCAACGCAGGGTCCCCTTTAACAGGCTCGGAGATGAGCCGTTACCATGGAAGTGCATAAATTAAATGACTCTCTGCAACAGCAATGGCTGTGCATGCGCAGGGTTGGTGGCACACTCCCCGGCGCTGTAGCGGGAGAATAATGTCATCAACGCGTCGCCGTAGTATTGGCAACGTCATCATCGTGGGGTTGGCGGCACTATGGCAATGTTGACATTACTATGGCAATGTTTAAACAGAATGATCCCACTAGTACGCATGGGCGGGACATATGCACCGCAAATCCCACACATGAGCGCCCATTAAAGCTGACATTATTCTTGCCTTGGGGAGGAATATTTAAGTACAGTGAGGACAAGGTGAATAAAATGGCATTTAAAAAAAAAACAACAACAAATTTGCTGATTTTGCCAGAGGAGGGGGCCAATAATAATAATCATAATAATAATAATATAGGAAATCAAAAAAATAGGTTGAAAAGAACTCGTTATAATGACTAGGATTTTTTTTTATTATTTAGGCCCTTGGTTCTCAATTGGTGGGTAGTGACCCCGTATGCCTTCCGCTTTTCTAGGTGAGAGGCTTCACAGCCTCCCCCTAGAGCAGCACTGTTAGTTCTTGCGCCAAGCAGCCATTTATATGCTGCTC